TTAGCAGGCCTGCCTTCAGAAATTAACCCAATGCCTCCGACCTGAAATGGTAGCAAACCCAGTGAGCAATAAGAACTAGCAACAATGAGACAAGCTCACGGTTTAAATCTGAGGTAGAAGAGCTCTTTGACCAGGATAGTCAATGACCCTTTAAGTGTAGCGAGGGCTCTTTTGTGTTCTAGCTGGGGCCCAGCTGGTGCACAGATAGGCAAGACTGTAGGTGATGTAGGTGATAGTTTCTGACAGGATTGATACAAAGGGGATGTAGAAGAAAGGACAAGGACTTTCCCTTTAAATGACACTTGACTTGCGTGTTGTCTCTTTAATGCGTTGGGAAAAGAGCTGCTTTTAAGCAAACTAAAGTATTGAACTGGCAAATGGGCTTGTTGGCAAAAGGGCAACTCTATCTGGGATGCGGTCACCAATAGCAATGGTGGCAGACATTCCTTTAGGGGGATAGGCCAATGGCTCAGGGAGCACTGATATGATTGGCCTGCAGAAGGATTGCGCTGCGGTCAGTTCTGATGATTTAACTGTACTGCAAATGTGTTCAACAGTAGCGGCTGGGGAAGTAGGCCGCAACGTGTTAACTGGATGCAGTGTCCACAACTGTGTGCAGATAAAGTAGCATGTCTGAGGAGAATGTCAGTGTTCTCTTGCTTAACTGGTGTATGGGACTCTCTCACCTGATCCGTGGCTTCCAGCAGGTCCTGGCGGTCTCTCTCTCGGTGGATGGGGTCCCCCACAGGTTCTCTGGCCTCACGTGCAGTGTTCCATCCAGTCACTGCACTCCAGGTCACCTGCTAGCAAACTATCTCGCTGAACAAGATGGAAAGGTCAGCGGCTTCTTCTTGCTTCTCCTCTCTCCAACTCTGCGGCCTGGTTTGGTTCTCCGGAAGTCAGCACAACTCTCTCTCTGCTTCCTCTCTCCAGCTCTCTCCCCTCTCACTTCCTCTCTAGTCTTCCAGGCTTCTGTATATATCTGCCCTCACCTACACGCCAGCGCTTTTGTGAAAAGTAGTCCTCTGATACACTGCTGCAAAGTCCTGCGATTCAGCGTACAATGTAGAAACATGACATGCTCTGCAGAAGTAATGCCAGTAAGCAGGACACTGCCATCTTGTGTGGTTAACAAGCTGTTAACGGTGGGGTGTAAACCCGGGTTGAAGAGAATTTCTGCGATGTGGGGAGGTCAGCTCTCGGCTGGAACAGCGTGGTGGCTGGAGGGCAGGGAACAGTGGTGAAGCTGCTTCTGAAAAAGGCAGTGCACTTCCGCCTTCCACGGCCAGTGCATGCTCCATTCGCAGTGCACCCTGGGATCTGACGTCATCACGGCTCAAGTGCATTTTCCTTCCGGCTTTGGGTGGGACGTGCATGAAGGCTGCCTCACCACTGTTCCACCCCCAGCCAACGTGCTGTTCCAGCCGAGAGCATTACCTCCCACACATCGCAGAGAGATGACGGCTCTTCACCCGGGTGTTACCACCCCACCGTTAACTATTTAACCACGGTTTTTATGCTTATGATTACTTCACACATGTGGAGTGTTTCTACATTTTTGACTTGAATTAAAAGACTTATTTGCACTTAGAGGCGCTCTCTCTCCTTTTTCTCTCAATCTAAATTGCTACAGCTTATTTGGAAGCCTTGCCCTCAGTGCCACACGGAATCCTACGCTTTTCAACAGTAGCCACTAATACCCAGAATCACCCATACTACCATTTCCCAGGAGCTTTGCAGTGTTTGCGCTGTTACAACCCTTCCTCATTTTTTTCTCTGACTTACACTGCTCCCCAGCAAAGTCCTTGCGATTCAGCGTACAAGGTCCATGAGGCTGCTCTGCAGAATACAAGTGCCAGTGAATTTGCAGGACACTGCCATCTTGTGTTGGTTTTTAACATCCTGCAGCTGACATTACAGCAAGGGTGTAACACAAATAATCACGGGTTGTTGCCTGTACAAAGGGCATCATTATGTACACCTGATGAATCAGCTTGATTTAAAATGGCTAAATGTGACTAGGGCAGCTCTATAGCCTGACTGTATTTCCTATTGTCACTAATTGTAAATTTCAAGTCCCAGCTTTACAAAATATAGCATACCCTTGCGAGCCTGTTTAGAAAATATAGCCAACGAAAACATTCATATTTGCCTTTACTATATGTATTTTTAATGGAGCATACAGATGAAACTTTGAAAAATTAGAATATCGTGCAAAAGTTCATTTATTTCAGTGATGCAACTTAAAAGGCGCGAAACTAATATATGAGAAGACTCATTACATGCAAAGCAAGATAGTTCAAGCCGTGATTTGTCATAATTGTGATGATTATGGCTTACAGCTCATGAAAACCCCAAATCCACAATCTCAGAAAATTAGAATATTACATGCAATCAATAAAACAAGGATTGTACATAGAACAATATCGGACCTCTGAAAAGCATAAGCATGCATATGTACTCAGTACTTGGTTTGGGCCCCTTTTGCAGCAATTACTGCCTCAATGCGGCGTGGCATGGAAGCTATCAGCCTGTGGCACTGTTGAGGTGTTATATTAGACCAGGATGCTTCAATAGCGGCCTTCAGCTCTTCTGCATTGTTCGGTCTCATGTCTCTCATCTTTCTCTTGGCAATGCCCCATAGATTCTCTATGGGGTTCAGGTCAGGTGAGTTTGCTGGCCAATCAAGCACAGTAATCCCACGGTCATTGAATCAGGTTTTGGTGCTTTTGGCAGTGTGGGCAGGTGCCAAGTCCTGCTGAAAAATGAAGTCAGAATCCCCATAAAGCTCGTCTGCGGAAGGAAGCATGAAGTGCTCCAAAATCTCCTGGTGGACGGCTGCGTTGACCCTGGACTTAATGACGCACAGTGGGCCAACACCAGCAGATGACATGGCTTTCCAAATCAACACAGACTGTGAAAACTTCACACTGGACTTCAAGCATCTTGCAGTGTGTGCCTTTCCATTCTTCCTCCATACTCTGGGTCCTTGGTTTCCAAATGAGATGCAAAAGTTGCTCTCATCAGAAAAGAGGACTTTGGACCACTGAGCAACAGACCAGGTCTGTTTTTCTTTAGCCCAGGTAAGACGCTTCTGACGTTGTTTGTTGTTCAGGAGTGGCTTGACAAGAGGAATACGACATTTGAAGCCCATGTCCAGGATCCGTCTGTGTGTGGTGGCTCTTGATGCACTGACTCCAGCCTCAGTCCACTCCTTGTGAAAGTCCCCAACACTTTTGAATGGCCTTTTCCTGACAATCCTCTCCAGGTTGCGGTCATCCCTGCTGCTTGTGCACCTTTTTCTTCCACACTTTTCCCTTCCACATAACTTTCTATTAATGTGCTTTGATACAGCACTTTGGGAATATCCAATTTCTTTTGCAATTACCTTTTGAGGCTTTCTCTCCTTATAGAGGGTGTCAATGATGATTTTCTGCACAACTGTCAGGTCAGCAGTATTTCCCATGATTGTGATTCCTACTGAACCAGACTGGGAGACCATTTAAAGGCTCAGGAACCCTTTGCATGTGTTATGGCTTAATTAGCTGATTAGAGTGGGACACTTTGAGCCTAGAATATTGCACCTTTTCACAATATTCTAATTTCTTGAGATTGTGGATTTGGGGTTTTCATGAGCTGTAAGCCATAATCATCACAATTATGACATATCACGGCTTGAACTATCTTGCTTTGCATGTAATGAGTCTATCTAATATATTAGTTTCACCTTTTAAGTTGCATTACTGAAATAAATGAACTTTTGCACGATATTCTAATTTTTTGAATTTCACCTGATATTTGTTAAAATGTTTGAATTCTTGAAGGAAACTTCTCTTCAGTATAGTCATCAATTAACTACACAGACTAAGATTACAGAGGTTACATTAGATTTTTTTTGTTCATTGTAAACGTATTGACATTAGCATGCAGTGAGGGTGGGCATCCAGGAAATGCGGCAAGCTTTCCACACACACTGCTTTTAAATGAAAATGACTTCTGCATGGAATCCACAATGAAACACATGCACGTTCAATGAATAAAGTTAATTAATCATAGAGTTTCTTCTAGCCTATGACCAGGTCCACCAGTATAGATACTCTTGCCACTACAAATGTATCTGAAATGACCATGCCATTACAAGCAGCATGTGCTCTGGCCTCTGACTGGTAATATAGGTTATAAAGGATTCATTAGGGCCATGCCTTCCCTGAGGAAAGCATGAAATGTTGTTGCAGATGGAGCTTAAAAAAGGAAGGCATAATTCAAAATTCTAACCTGGCATCCTGCTAACACAAGACCCTGTAGATTCCAGGGAACCAGTGCTTTGATTATTCTGTAGCATTTCTGTCTAGAAAGACTTGTTGGCAAATATAGGGGGTACGGAATAGTGATGGTAGGTGGGATGGCAACACCAGATATCCTGTGTCAGTTGGCATATTTAAGGATAAAGGTGTTGGTGGAGCATTTGACCTAGGCTGTCTGATGTGGGAGTACAGTAAAAAATGTCAAGACTGAGCATGAGATATCAGCAGGGCAGAGGATAGGGTCAGCAGTTTTTAGGGCAGTGTACTAGGGCTATTAAATAGAACAGTGTACAGTGGGTCAGCAGGGCAAAGAATGGGAGGTCAGCAAGGGAGTGCACAGGAATTGGTAAATTAGTGTACTAGGGGTCAGAAGGGCAGAAGACAGGGCTCATCAGGATGGAGGACAGAGCTCAGCAGGATGGAGGCCAGGAGTCAGCAGGGCTAAGGATAGGGGTCAGCTGAGCTGAGGACAGGGGGTAACTGCTGGCAGGACAGAAGGCAGGGGTAACTGCTGTTAGGAGAAAGGACGGGGGTCACCGCTGGCAGGGCAGGGAACAGGGGTCACCACTGGCAGGGCAGGAAACAGGGGTCACTGTTGGCAGGGCAGAGGACAGGGGTCACCTCTGGCAGAGCACAGAACAGGGTCACTGCTGGTAAGACAGAGTACAGTGGTCAACACTAGTAAGACAAAGGACAGGGGTCACCACTGGCAGGGCAGAGGACAGGGGTCACCTTTGGCAGGACAGAGAGCAGGGGTCAATGCTGGCAGGACAAGAGTCACTGCTGGCAGAAGAAAGGACAGAAATCCCTGCTAGCAGGAGAGGAGAGGTCACTGCTGGCAGGGAAGAGGACAGCGGTCACTACGGTAAGGCAAGAGGAAAGGGGTCACTGCTGGCAGGGCAGAGGACAGTTTTCACTGCTGGCAGGGCAGAGGAAAGGGGTCACTGCTGGCAGTGCAGAGATCAGCGGTCACTGCTGGCAGGGCAGAGGACAGAGGTTACTGCTGGCAAGGCAGAGGACAGGGGCCACTGCTGGCAGGGCAGAGGACAGGGGTCACTGCTTGCAGCACAGAGATGAGGGGTCACTGCTAGCAGGACAGAAGACAGGGGTCACTGCTGGCCGGGTAGAGGAAAGGGGTCACTGCTGGCAGTGCAGAGATCATGGGTCCATGCTGGCAGGGCAGAGGACAGGGGTCACTGCTGGCAGCGCAGAGATCAGGGGTCACTGCTGGCAAGGCAGAGGACAGGGGCTGTTGGCAGGGCAGAGCTCTTTGTCTCATCCCTGCACTGTGCACGGCCGGAGCACAAGCAGGAAGATTTCCTCCTCAGTTCCCCCCACACAGCACTGAAATTAGATTCCAGTACACACAGCTATGATCTGCACAATGTGTAGCTGGCTACTGTGTGGCAGTTCTGACCTGTAAAATCCCTTGGTCAGAATGGCTGCATGGCTGCAGTAACCAGCTTCACGCTGTGCAGATCATAGCTGTGTGTAATGAAATCCAGTTTCAGCTATGTGCTGTGTGGAGAGGAGCTGAGGAGGAGATCATGTTACCTGTGCTTAGGCTGTGTACAGTGCAGGGATGGGAGATGTCAGGGGTGGTGGGGGATTTGGGGGGGGGATGCAACTTCAACCTGGTGGGGCATAGCCCACCCCAGCACCTCATTAGATCTGGCCATGACTGGACTGTAGTTAGGTGGGCTACTGTCAGGTTTGAGAGGAATGACTTCCAAAATATAGAGAAAGATTGCTCTTAGGATGCCATTATCCCCAGGTGGGTCTAAGGAAACATTAACAGTAAACAAAGTGAAAAGGATGAGAGTGCCACGCAGATTCCAAATGAGCCCAGAATATCTTTTAATATCAGCAAGCATCACAAAAAGGTAAGGCTGCCTAGCCAGCAAGGGAAACACACCTTCCAAGCATACTTAATAATAGTCTATATTAGATGAACAGAGTTCAGCTCATTTATACCTTAGAACTTCTCCAATACTTTAAGCATTGATAAAAGGGGGCTGCTGACTACCTGAAATGCATTGCATACTTTTTATGACATCTGCTGATGCTAATAAAGACCTACTAAATTCACTTGGAACCTGTCTGTCACTGTCATCCTTCACTTTGCTTATTGTTCAAGGGGCATTTTTACAAACGAATGCTTCTGAAGTGTCATCTGTTGTCATGATTAATGGTTTTATTCTGTAACCAATCACAGATGAAGATAAAATGAGTCACATGTGCTAAAGATAAAAAGCTGCAAAATATAATAAAGCCCTTAACCTTTTTCTAAAATCATTTTAAAACAATCATGTAATAACTGACAAATGGTACCACTTACACAGGGTGCAGAGAGTAAATTTATATATGAATAATGAATGCCAAAAAGAACTACACAATTCCCCACAACCTATTTTAGTAATAGCATTTCCCTGGGTGTGAAAGCAGCTGTCAGGGGAATGTGACTTGATGAGTTCTTGAGTGTGATCAATATTTTATAAATAATAAAATGTTAAGTCCTCATCAAATAATACCCAGTCAGTTCAGAATTTGTTCTAAAGACTTGTCTCATTTATATTTTAAGACTCCTTTACTAAGTTGGGTCCTTTAACCCATCAGCCTTGCGGACATAGATTAGATGACATAACTGGTCAAGGCTATAAATTTTATCACATTTCAATGACTGCAGTAAGATGAAAAAAAAGGTGATTTCCTCTGGGAAGATTTATGCCTAGTCCTCTGTACTGTAAATCTTGTATTAGAAGCTTGCTAACGGAAAACAGCATTTACAGCACCTCAGCCATGCTCTAGCTTCCATCATGGATCACTGAAGACACGCACAAAGGATCACTGCAAAGTTACCGCTGTGTCATTTCTGCCTCCTGTGCTGCAACTCATCAGTAACAAGCACCATATGCTTTTAGCAGCTAAAGAATGACCTGAGAGAGGCTTTGCACGGCACTACTGATCCATATGGAGCGTCAGGCAACACCACTCCTAAACTGCAGCCTTCCTATTGTATTTTTACACTTTACACTTTAGAGCCAGTCTACCAAAAAACATGTTTTTTTTTTGTTGGTCGATCACTTTCACTGATCTTTATTGACAATGAACCAAAACTGCTGCATGCCAGTATTATTAAACCTAACAATTATAAAAAAAAAAAAAAGGAAAAGGTACAATATGTAGTATAACTGTATTGCAGATCCAATGAATTCCTGGAATAAACAGGTCGTAAATGATGAAAAAGAAAAGTATTTGAATGTTGACAGACTTAAAGTGTTACTAAACCCACAACAGTAAAATCAGTCTGTATATGCAGTAAAGCATGTTTGTTATACTCACCGTGGAACCTAAGGGGTTAATCCTCTACATTGCGTAAGAAGGATGTTTGACCCTGTCTTCTCTGATCCTCTCCTTCTTCCAGTGTCCCTGTCTTATCTCCTGATAGAACAAAGGCTCGGGGGGAAAGCTGCACATGCTCAGTGTGGTGTGTATTTTTAGAGAGTTTTTTTTTCTTGGGAGAGTGCATGAGATCAGCACAGGACCAAGCAGCACTGTCCAGACAGAGGTCAGGGGCCCTGCATCCTCCTACAGAAGAATGAAAACTCTTCCTATAAGCTGTAACCAGTACTCTGCTGGACATCGTTGGAAGTCACAAGACTGCTCTAACTGCTGATGAGAAAAAGTATTTAGCAGTTTATATTTACTAAAATAATTGCATTTACATGTTCTGTCTGCTGTGGGAGACCAGATAGAGTGAATGCAGGATCCTGGGTTTAGTAACACTTTAAAGTGGTTATAAAGCCTGAAGGTCTTTTTGCCTTATTGTAGTCTCTGCATTAAGGTAAATAGCCTTCAGTGTGTTGCCCCCCCCCCCCCCTTTCTACTTACCTGAGTCCAATAAACATCCAGCAGGAGAACTGTGGTTTTCTCTCTGTCCTCATTAGACAGGGAAACAGCAGCAGCAACCATTGGCTACTACTGCTGTCAATCACAGCCAGTGAGGGAACCAGGGGTGGGGCCAAGCCATACTCTGTATGTCAATGGACGCACAGAGCCAGTTCAGGATCAAGCCTGAGTAAGTGGCTCCATAGCAAGCAGCTTGCTGTGGGGGCACTCAGTGGAAGGAGGAGTAGGCAGTGCTAGTGGAGGACCTGAAAAAAGAAGGATCAGGGCTGCTCTGTGCAAAGCCATTGTATGTAAGTATAACATGTTTATTGTTTCAAAAAAAAAAAAAAAAAAAATGTGAAGCTTTACAATCACTTTAAGAATGTTAAATGCCTGTTAAGCCAATGTGTACAATATATTTTTTTTCTCTTTCTACTATGTCCAGGATGATAGTGATGTGGAATGGAAATTTGCTCGATCAAAATTATGGCTGTCCTATTTTGATGATGGGAAAACACTTCCACCTCCATTCAGCGTTGTGCCAAGTCCAAAGTCCTTTGTGTATTTAATCTTAAAAATCATTAATTTCTGCAAATGCAGGACAAGAAAACTACAGAAGGACATTGAAATAGGGATGGGTGACTCCAAATCCAGGGTAAAGGTTCACCAATTTTTGAAACATTGTGGTAATGTCAAATACATATTTGTTAAAAAAAAATATGTTTAATGGGTTGGAATATTAGTGGAATATGGCATCTTGTTTATTTTATTCAGACAAACATATATAATTTAGCTAATGTAATGCAAGTCAGCATTTAAAGGTGTATCATCAAAAAAATATACTCCCCCAAAAAAGATTACCTCCACCTGTACATTGCTAAATGGCAACAGTCAGCCTGGGAGAGCAAGACCAGCTCTAGAAACTAGTCAGGATCAGCTGCAGAGCACATTTACTGACAGAAAATGCTATTTCTTCAGTGTACAGCTGTTGCTTCCTTTTCCAGTTAGCATCCAAACATAATAAAAAGTTATTTGCCATGTAAAACGATTTCTATTGTATTTCTATTGCAAATGCTTGCCTTGAGTTTTCCTTTAACCACTTGAGCTCCTGAGGATTTACCCCCCTTAATGACCAGGCCTCTTTTTGCTACTCGGTGCTGCACTAATTCAACTGATAATTGCGCGGTCATGCAATGCTGCACCCAAACGAAATTTACATCCTTTTTTTCACACAAATAGAGCTTTCGTTCAGTGTAATTTGATCACCTGTGCGCTTTTTATTTTTCACGCTATAAACAAAAAAAGGCCAAACATTTTGAAGAAAAACAATATTTTTTACTTTCAGCTATAAAAAATATATAGTAAACTCAAAGTTGGTTATAAATTTAGGCCAAAATGTATTCTGCTACATGTTCTGGTAAAAAAAAATCCCAATAAGTGTATATTGATTGCTTTGTGTGGAAGTTATAGCGTCTACAATCTATGATATAAATACTGCAATTTATGCCATTTTTCTGCTATACAGCGCTGCGCTAGTTTAACGGACAATTGCGCGGTCATGCAATATGGTACATAAATGAAATTTACATCCTTTTTTTCCCTACAAATTGAGCTTTCTTTCGGTGGTATTTGATCGCCTGTGCGGTTTTTATTTTTTGCGCTATAAAAAAAAGGCTGACAATTTTGAGGAAAAAGAAACAATATTTTGGACTTTTTGCTATAAAACATGTCAAGTAAAAAAAAAAAGCAAAAATCAAATTTAGTCATAAATTTCTGCCAAAATGCATTCTGCGACATGTCTTTGCTAAAAAAAAACCCAATACGTGTAAATTAATTGGTTTACGTGAAAGTTATAGCGTTTACAAATGGCGGGAAAGATACTGGGATTTTTAATTTTTATTTATACTAATAATGGCGACTTATGGCGGCAATCAGCGACATATGACGGCGACCAGCGACTTATGGCGGGACTGCGGCGGACATTTTGACACTGGGGGGGAACTGACTTGGGGTCACTGACATCCCCAGTGACACCAATACAGTGATCAATGAAAAAAAAACACTGAAACTGTACTAATGTCACTGGGGAGGAAGGGGTTAACATTTTTAGAATTTGCTGTGTAAGGGGAGTGTTTTACTAGGGGGCGGGGGGTGTGTACTGGACGGGGGGAGGGGGGGGGGGGAGCTGATCGAGGGAGAGAAACTCTTCTCTCCCTCTTCAGCTTGTTGGCGAACTGTCACAGAGCAGGGCTGTGTGTAAACAATGCAGCCCTGCTCTGTGTCAGTGATCACCGCTCATCGCGGGAAAACGGCCGGTAAAAACACCCTGCTGACACCCGCAGGACAGGTAGGGCGGGCGCACGCCTCCTACCTGTTTTGAAGGCAGCCGTTTTAAAACATGCTTTTGCCTACGAGCGCCGCCCTGCC